GAATCAGAATCCAGTACAAAAGAAAGTTTGCATTGTACGAAATATTTGGATGTTGTTATTTACACTGTCAACGTTGATATTAAAAGGGATAAGTTATCCAATTATTTACATACACGTGACATGAACATTTGACATTGACATCCCTACACTGGAGATGCTCTAATGGGGACTTCTCTCTTCATTTCCTCCCTATCGTTCTTACTAACGAGCTTCCGCTTGAGGCGTGATTTGGGCCGATCGAGTACTCAAAGGGCTTGGCGAGAATGTTGTTGGGATCGAGGTTTTGAGGCGTGATTTGGGTGGGAGGGTTTTGTTGGTATATATGTCCTAGAGACAATCTTTTTTAGGCACATATACATAATCACCTTAATATTATATTGGATTATAATTATGGTATTGCAATTAATTAAATAATTATTTGATTGTTTGCAATTTATTAATTAATTGCTCTCTTGAGTTAATATTGTCATTAACAGAGTGAGATGTTAATTTTCTTAAAATTTATTTCGTTATATATAAAAAAATAAATTATTATTCAAATCCCCTCTATATATAATTTCAGAATAGGTTGAGCCTACATGGCAAACTCTCACTCTTTGGAATCCCATTTGGCAAAAAACCATGTTTTGGAGTTAGGCTTGGATATAACTTAATATTTTTTATCACACTAAATCTATGATTGATTTATTTTTTTCTTTACTTCTACAATTAGTTACCATAAATTATTTTATATTTCTTTTTCCTATATTATCATACATTACATTTCATTTTCTTATTTAATTCATTCATTAGTTATTATAAATGTTCTTCTTTTAATAAAAATAAATAATTATTTATCTAAATTCTAAAATTACATATAAAGTTAGAATTGTGAAGCACAACAGATACTACACTTGATGTATTTGAAATCTAATTAAGTAAAAAATTAATCTATTTTGCTTAATATTAAATAAACATATTTATGTACTTATGCATATACATATCACCATATTATTTCTATTTACTTAAGATATATATTTTTTTTACTTAATAATAGTAAATAATATCGATAATTTTATACGATACAAGTAAAAAAATTCAATATGAGTTGACATTTTCATTTATTATATGGGTATTTAATTATTATGATTAAAACAATATAATTTAACAATTTAATTAAAACTCAAAATAATATTTTATATGAAATTAAATTATTTTAGTTTAAAATAAACTAATATTTTTTACATATGCTTCCTAATTCAACACCCGTGTATTTACACGGGTATTGTACTAGTTAATATAATTTACCATTTAAGAGATAATGACCAAATATAATAAATAGTTTTACCAATGGTCAAAAATTAAAATTAAAATACATTAACAGTTCTTTAAAATTTATTTGTATATTATTGGCAACCATGATTATTTTTTTATGTTACTTTCTTTCTATAATGAAATTCTTGTAAAATATATTTTCATTACAGAGTATGTTAAATAGACTATAAATCTTTATAATGCAAATCAGAAAACTCATGATTATAAAAGGGATTGAGTTTTTGGCATTTGCTAAATCAAAGTTGTTTAATTAGTAAACAAAATTAAATTATAAAAAAACATGTGTGTATATTTTGTAAAATATTTATACACTATTTAATTTTAAATTTATTTACATATTTTAAATTGATTACATAAATAAATAATACTAACGTGCATTAAATATTTTTCATTACATAAAATTAAAAGAAAAGGAAGATGCATAACTTCTATAACTTTTATAAATAATAATGACATTATATGATAACAAAGTTTATAATAAAATAATAACTAAGTATTATATGGTAAACAATAATAAGTAAAATTGTTATTTTCTCTTATTTCAAAGTATAAATATATATACTAAAATCAAATTTATATCAGTATAAATGTGTTAGTGAAATAATATATTAATTATTTTACAAGCTAGCACTAACATGCTCATATTTAATGTTCTGGCTAAAAAACAATGATGGTTAAAATAGGTGAAAAATAAATTATAACTCTATTGTGTTTTAGATTTAACGCTAATTAAAAGAGTAGAAAATAGACGATAACCCCGTTGTTTTTTAAACTTAAACAGACAGAGTCTGTGAAAATAACTCATTTAATATTTTTGTCTTTGTCTCGTGCATCGCACGAGATACCATACTAGTATATAGGAACTGCAAACCATCACGTAAATTTATTTGTACTTTGTCTTCAACAACATAATTTTATAATCATTTGATTTATATATAATGATACCATAATCTATAATTGAACATTGATGCATTTGTGTGAGGGTTTTAATGGTTAAATGGATTTAACCAACAAAATATATAGCAACACTACGTACAAGAACACAAAATTAAGATAAATCAAGTGAATAACTCTGAAATAACAAGATGTTAGTTCGATTTTTTTATCATCTAAAGTCAATATTGTCGACCTATTCGATACCAAAACTATCTTTAACTATAGTCTGACTAACAAACCATGAAGTACTGAACATTATATTTATCCTTTTTTTTTTTTTTAGAAATNGAAACATATATTTTTTATTACATTAATAAACCAAGTCATAAATAATAGCAATTCAACTAGTTCGGCATTTTTTATTTGCAAAACTATCAGATATCAATAAATCATTAATTTAGATATTTAATCAATTTTTAGAGTAATTAATAGAAAACTTATCACATTCCTAAAGATCATGACACTTTCTCTATCTCCCCCATCTCTCCTCTATCTCCCCCATCTCTCTTCTTCTTCTTTTACAACTTTACGCATAAAATTTTCTTTCTTCCTACAATTGAAAATTTTATTTGTTTTTTTTTATCGGTCGAAGATGGACACCCACGGCTTGGATGAGCGCAGGGTCAACGGATCGATGGATTGGCAGACTCGCCGGGAGTAAGGCGACCACCAAACCGAGGAGGCTCGCTGGCCCTCCAACTACCAGAGATAGCGGTTCACCAACACTAGCCCTTCAGTTAAGCTTGGGGAAGGCGGCCCCAATTAAGCTTGGGGAAGGTGGCGTTGACTAGGGTTCCGATGGAGGATTTGATCGCGGCCTCGAGGTCAGGGAAGGAGGGGGAAGGCCGGGGTCCCCGGATTCGTCAATCCCGCCGATGTTAATGATCTTTCTATAATGAAAATCTCCGACATCAGGCGACGAAATACCCCCTCATCGTAGATCGAGTTATCGTCTTCAAAGAATACAAGCAATTTCAACCATCTCTTGTCTGCGTATATGTGCTGGGTATTTTTCGTATATGTGCTACGGAAAATATGTGCTGGGTGTTTTCCGTATATGTGCTGGGTATTTTTCCTTATATGTGCTACGAAAAATATATGCTGAGTATATGTGCTGGGTATTTTCCATATATTCTGTATAGTTTAGATCGGTGTTTATATCATCAAGAAGACTTATTCTATGAAAGTGTATATTCTGTATATATTTGATCGTTTTATTTTCTGTATAATGAGAGAAAAGAGGACGTTTGCATATCATATCAGTTTATGATATGTATATGATAGATTATATACTGAACAAAAATTCAAATATCACAATTATGGTTAGATTAAAATGCTATGTAAATAAAAAATCAAGTTATATACTGACTATAAACGCAATATATACTGTCTATTCAAAAAATGAGTACGTTTGAATATTCTGGGTATATGAAAATATCACGATTGAACAAATTCCTAATTAGTAGGTAATATACACTTACTTTTTTTTTTTTTCAGAAAAAAATCCCACACATGCATGATTGTAGGAGACGTGAAATCTTAATTACTTTGGTAACGGATATTTAGCATCAACACAACTAAATGAACTTCAACTGGTAATCATGAAAATAAAATCACCATATGCAATATATTTAAATTCATGTGGTAAATAAAAAATTTCTCTTTTTTTTTTCATCATATCAGATCAATACATGTTATTTATCCAAAACAATAGATTGAAACATGTTTGTTTATAAATAAACTCAATTTATACTCAAAATATAATTTATTTTTAATTCAATCCAATTATCTTCAATATTATTAATATAATTAAATAATATTAATCAATAATTCTTACATATTACATCAATTTTAATTCACAATTTATCTATCCACATTTATTTGTATCCAAACACGCTCTTAAGGGCAATATAGGTGAAAGAAATAAAACGTGGGGCTGACAACAAAATATGAATATTATTTGACTCAAACGATAAATAAATAAAAAGGTAGGAAACAGCAAACACGCAAGCTCAGACTTGGTGCAAACAATCTCCTCTCTGCAACACTATTCCCTAAATTCAAAGCAAGCCGCGTCTTCCTCGCGTCTGCCTCTCTCTCTCTGTAAGTGATTCTCTTTCTCTAAATTTATATACACTATTATATATACAATCAATTTGTTAGATCTCTCCTATTTTCTCCTTCAATTGTTCTTCCTGTATGTGATTTGATCTCCGTTTGCGTCGCATATGCCTGTTGTTTGAGGTATATTGTTCTTGTCCTGATTGCTATTTGCGTTTTATTTTTGTGGGTTTTCTGTAATTGTTAATTCTTTGCCTTTTCTGTTATGAAATTAGGGTTCCTCAGTAAGCATTTACCCCTTCTCTGTATTCTGTAACTTGATTTGTTGTTGTGGATTAATGGGTACACAATAGTGCTCCAATTTTACGCCGATAGATTACGCTGCAACTAGGGTTCTGACTGGTTTATGTATTTATTAAACTGCCGCAGTAGAAATTAGGGTTTTTATTTCGCTGATTTATTTCAGTAATTTTCTCTCTCCACGAGCAGATATCGATTTTCGAATTCAAACTCAGCAAATTTTTGTTTTTTGTTTTTGTTTTCCCTTTTTGTTCTCTTGCAGGCCTAAAGGTTTCTTCTTCTTGCAGGCCTAAAGGTTTCTTCTTGGTTCTCTCTGCGCGTGTCCTGTCCTCTTCTCCAAATCCCTCTTCTCCAAAAATATATATTAAAAAGAAAAGGGAACAAAAAAGATGGAGGTCAAGCTATGGAACGACAAGCGAGAGAGAGAAATGTACGAGAATTTCGCCGAGCTCTTTGCCATCATCAAAGCCACCGAGAAGCTCGAGAAGGCCTACGTTCGTGACATCATAACCCCATCCGAATACGAATCCGAATGCCACAAACTCATAGCCCACTTCAAAACCCTCTCTTCAACCCTCAAAGACATAATCCCAAGCATCGAGCGCTTTCACGAGACGTACAAAATGGACTGCCCGGCCGCCCTCAACCGCCTCGTCATCTCCGGCGTGCCCGCCACAGTCGAGCACCGGGCTGCCGCTGCCTCGTCAGCCGCCACCTCAGCAGCTGCCGTGGCTGAGTGTGTTCAGAACTTCATCACGGCCATGGATTCCCTTAAGCTGAACATGGTGGCAGTTGACCAGGTTTACCCTCTTCTGTCTGACCTGTCGGGTTCTCTCAATAAGCTTTCTATACTGCCGCAAGACTTCGAAGGGAAGATGAAGATGAAGGAGTGGATCGGGAGGCTTTCGAAGATGGGGGCTGCTGATGAGTTGACCGAGCAGCAAGCTCGACAGCTGCACTTTGACTTGGAGTCGTCTTACAACTCGTTCATGGCAGCCTTGCCCAATGCTGGTATGTGATTTCTTTTGATGGGCGTTTTTTGTTCTTTCGGGATGGGGGTGTAAATAAGTGAGTATATTTGGGTTTTGTGGATTTTTGCCCTGTCTTGGACTTGAGTGTGGGTTTATATCAGTATATGTGTTTTGGTATTGGATGTGGTTGGAATGAGTCGAAGCTAGTTTCTTTTTTTTGGATTGAAGTTGCTGGTAATGTGTTTGACTGATGATGGTTTGCTAGGCGTGTTATTTGGACCTCGGTTGGTTGATATCTTGGCTGTAAGGAAGGTTATTGTCTTGTATTATTGAGGTTATTATTGAAAAAAGAAACATCTTCTTTTTGTATTTGTATGTGAATCTTTGATTACATTGCGCTTTTGAGTGTAGATTACGCTCGACTCTCTCTCTCTCTCTCTCTCTCTCACGTTTGATCTCACACTCGATGACAAGGGTATTCACTAGATTTATTGAACCGTAAACATTCACTGAGAAAATAGATATATTGAACATTTATGGGGCCTTTGCTAGTTGTTCAGATTGTTCTCCGCAAGTGTTGAATTTTGCTCGTTTTCATAACTCTTCTGTTCTTGTTACCGAATTCGACATACTATTGTGTTCGGTTTTCATAGCCTGTTGTTATTGTTGGGCTAGAAGGCCTTCCCTTTGAATTTGGGTCTTTTCCTCTTAGGATGAGTTGGTTTTTAGTTTGGGGACTAAATGATTGGGAGGTGTCAAAGCTATGATTATGTAGTGAGGCTTTAACCTCGGGGCCCTTGTATGAAAAATGTGGCCAGATACATATGAACAAAAACAACTCACTTGTAAGAAAACAGCTCATATGAACCACACCAATACATATATAGCATATCCCCAAAATCCAGAGACCTAATGCAATGCCAAAGAAAATGTAATTAAACTAATCACAGCCCATCATTGGACGCTAAAACAAAACCAAATACATGTCGAAGTACTCAATGTCTCATACAAATTACAAATCACTAATTCAAAGTCTTTCGTTTGCTTTGATATTAAAATGAAATGGACGGCCGAGTCAATAGTAATATACGAACCGTAAAAAAAAGGTAAACCCTTGCAGGCTGGTGAAAGTCCAGATTTACCCTTCTCTGATTCATTCACCACACGGCAAGGATCACGACCACAACAAAAAACAACAATTCATTTCCGAAACCCCAATTACATTACCCGAACACGATGCCCCTTTCAGTCATTTCACGAGGCTTCGCACAAAACGGCGCCCTTAATCCTCTCAACCGTGCACTTTATGAGGCTATTGACCGTAGCCACCGAACCCAGAGAGAGCTTGGCAGTTGGGACTGAGTCGACCAATATCTGGAATGCGACAGTCAACAGGGACCCACCAGACCCGACTTCAGAGCCCGTGCTCGGCCCGCCACCTGGCCCATCGGGCAGTATGGCGAAGCCCGATGGAAGGAGGGCCACATAGTCTGGGTCCCCACCGCTAAGGACTGCGTTCATGGCAATGATGTCGACTGGGGCATAGATCACGTACGAGCCCGTGGGGTCCACACAGCTCTCTTGGAGTATCAACATGTTGCTCTGGCTCGAGTTCGCGCTCTGCATGCACGTATCAAATCCAATTATCTGAAGCATTTTCTCTCTTTTTAAATTAAATCGGTTAGAATTTTTTTACCGTTAGATCAACATACACATATGCCAGCAGGTGTGTATTGATCCAACGGTTAAAAAATTTGATGAGTGATGACTGCAGATAGATTGAAATGTTCCGAAGAAATGGGTTTCGGCCCGTTGACTTACGTTGACCCGGAGCAAGGTGACGGAGTTTCCTGGGTCACGGCCGTTGGCGATGTGGGCCATTTCTTGAACGAGGCCGCCGTTGGAAAGGATGTCCCACTTGAGCGCCGGAGAAAATTGGAAGAAATTGATTAGAATGGTTCAAAATCTATCATCGTACACCAGAATTTTCATTTATGTATTTATTCTTTATTATATTTATTATAACTATATTATTAAAAAATAAATACACATTGTTATAAATATATATTAGCTTAGTCAAAGTTTATTGATTTTTCATTATATATCTATCATGTACAAAAACGAAGTGACATCATGATAAACTATGTTGTACATGTTTTAACTTAATCATAAATATAACTAAATTATAAAAAATGTAAAAGTGAACGTATTGACAAATGTTATTATCATAAATTAGGTGATATTTGATAGAAAAAGAGAAACGTTTTCAGTAAATGTATAGAAATTTTAAAAAGGTTTTGACAAACTTTAGTAAGTATTTCGAGAAGATAATTCATTTGACATGATATGGTACATTGGATGTTTGACCTCAAAACCATTTTTATCAACATAAATTAGTGCAAAATAAAATTATAGTTCTCATCACAATTTTGTAATAGTTAAAATATATTTCAATGTTTTGTAAGATTTAATATATTATGAAAAATGTGGCGTCGTCTAAAGTTAAAATAATAAAAATATACTTAGCTTTTTTTCAATTAGTTTCTAAAAGTAGTATCTATATATATAATTATACATAAAAAAATAAAACAAAATCATATTACAAGATACCACAGATTTTTTTTTGTTTTTAATTGGCAAATCCGTTGATTCTATAAGAAGCTCGTAGTTATAATTTTTGTACCAATAAAAATTTGAAATAGTTTAATTGGCAAATCCGTTGATTCTATAAGAAGCTCGTAGTTATAATTTTTGTACCAATAAAGATTTGAAATAGTGGAGATGGGATAGTACAATGAATATAATTCTAAAAATATATTTATAATTAAACCATTTAAAATATATTAAATATCATTCAGATATAAATATTGCATAACTTACTAAATCAATTTTGATATGCAAAAAATAAAAAGACTATATTAAAGTATATTTAGGAATTCAAACAATTAAATTTAATTTAACATCATTTACTTATTATAAAATTTTACAAATTACGAAAATAGATTTAGAGCAGCAAAAGAAAAAAAAAACAACAACGAAAATGATAGCACAATGACATATTGTACAAATAACAAAACTTGTGAATGGTCTTTCTAGTGTAACATGATCAACTTTTTCTGTTTTTCCGAAATTTTACCATTAATTATGAAGGTTCTTATTAACATTTTCAAATGATTCACCACAAAAACCAAAATAACCAAAATCTATGAAGTAAAATTATAAACTCAAATATTAGGTTAGCAAAAGATTCAATACCTCGCTCCTCGAGTTTTCGTCGCGCAAGAAATCGAACACCCTTTTGGGGGGCACCGGGAGCCAGAAGGAAGTTGCGGCACTTAGCACGATTCCCGGAGGCCTGCCCGGGTCGTCCATGCTTTTCCGGGTCATGACCCGAACATCGTCGGGCCCACTTCCTGACATGGTCGTCCACGTGTGCGCGGTCGATGCACCGACCCCCGTGCAAAAGCTCGTCACCATTCTTTCAGCCAGCCCCAACATGCTCTTTCGACCCTTTGGCGATGATATTACTATACGTTTACAGATTCTTGTGTGAGGTAGTCGAACGTTAGACGGTCGATTGGGACACGGTCAAACTCTTTGAACAAAAATGTATGTTTATGTTGAGAAATGTCAAATTTTTGTTTATATTATTTTTTAAAAAAATATCGTTTGTGTATGGAAATATGCATATTTGAAAAAGTATGACAACCTAACAACTACTACATTTATGTATTGAGAGTGCTCTAGGTGTTGTAAATAGGAGTTTGCAAAATCGAGCCAAACCGTTCAATTTGGTGCGGTTTGGTTCGATTTTTCATGTAAAAGAAAAAAAAAATCAGTTTGGTTTCGATTCGGTTTCTTCTTACATTGTCATGCGGTGCAGTGCAATTGTAGTTTTTCAATTTTTATTTTTTTTTCCTATTTAGTGCACAAATTGCATAAAACATGTATAAACTGAGATAAAATTGAAAACTGATTTGAATTGTGCATTACGGTACGATTCAGTTCGGTTACGTTACTGTAAAAATTTCGGTCTGGTTTCCGCTCTAAGTTGCGGTGAGGTGTAGTTCGGGTTTTTTTCTTTTTGCTAGGTTCGGTTTTCAGTTATTTGCAATTCGGTGCGGTTTTTTACCGAACCACACCGTTGCTCACCCATAGTTGTGCGTACCTCCAACGTCTCCGGATGATATGTTGTCGGCCATAACACTCGCCAAGCGCTCACATTGTCGGTCGAGTGTAGCCACCCAACGTCTCGCCCCAAATGCGGTACCCGAGCTGATGAGCGGCTTGTAGATGTTGTGGACCGCTCTATCGTCCACCTCCACATGTTCGACCCAAGTGACCTAAAAAGAGTTGGATAACAATTAGATATATAAACTCGTTCTTGCGCGCAAATTCAATGACGATAAATGAGGATTTGATTGATTTCTATTCGGTTTTTACGTACTTTTGAGTAGCCATCGGGCAATTCTTGAATGAGGCAGCCCGAGGGCCTTTTCCTGCACCTCGAGATCGAGTTGGGACGAATGTTGTCTAACGAAACATCGACAACTGCCCAAGTAGTCCCATCCCCATGTTGTTTGCAATACCTCACAAAGTAGTTCTCGCGAGTCGGGACCAATGGAGAAGGGACTTGGAACTCGGCGTTCATCTGAAAATATTAAAATAAAAATAACGATCGATAAATTTTTTCTCTCATGTGTTTGTTTCCTCTTCAATAAGCAAAATTTATGCTCCAAATTATCAACATTACCACTTGTAGAGCTCCATCATAGTTACCCGCCATGCCGGTTGACAAAACCTCCAAAGTCGTCGCTCTAGAAACGATACACGAAAACATGCTCGACCATCGATTCTACAAATCAACACATCAAACTTTTAAACAAAAAGAACAGGTAGAACATTCAAATTAACTTAAATAAGGCCATATAAATATATATACCACATCCATGAATATCTCCACCAAGTTCATGTGATTCATTATCACGATAGCCGACTCGCGAGAGGCCTCGGACTTAAACCCTAAAGGCTTAGGCCCGATCCCTCTCGGAAAAACCCTTACGTACTCCTCCTCGTTCAATGCCTCGAGAGAATTATGATCGATGGTCGGGATCCAAAGAGGCTCTCCACTTTGGGCCATCCGGATTAGCTCCTCCATAGCCGCAACAGCCAGCTCGATTATCACGGGCTTTTCGGCTTCACTTGGGCCTGATACCGACCTTAGAAGATCAACGACACCAATCTCGCCCGTCATGCCAGATTGCGGCCCAAAATTATTCTCAACTCCAATATCAAGCGAACGAGATGATGAGCCGGGTGAGAGGTGCGGATACAATTGCATCGATTTCCCCACGTATTTCGCAGCCATACCCGAAATCCTACCAATCTGCATCAAAAGATCATGGTATGTCATATATGTGAGCTAAAATTGAAAAACAAATATATATAAATGTACAATAATTTAATAACAATTGTCATTAATATTTTTACTTAGAAATGAAAAAAAATCACTGTGTGCATTTCTAGCTACAACAATTGTTCAACACAATCTACACACAATGAGCACAAAATATTCCAACAACAACAACAACAATAATAATAATAAACGAAAGCTATCGAATCTTACTTCCTCTCTTAAGCGAACGTTCTCGATCCTCAAGTGTTGCTCGTCAAACGACATCTCGCCAATGGCAGCCGGGCCCCCACAATTCGGACAAGTGGCACAACTTAGGGCCTCTTTGTAACGTACATTCTCGGCTCTCAACTTGTCGTTCTCGTTCCTTAGTTGCGTGTTTTCGGATCTTTCGTGTTGAGCCTTAAATCATAACAAAATTCAGACAACAATGTATAACATGGAAAAAATTGCATCATTCGTCCACTAATTATACCCGAATTGCACTTTCGTCTTTTAATTATTATTTTTTTACTTTTGGTACACTATCATTTTGTTTTTGCAATTTTCGTCCAAATTAAGGTTCCGGTGCTCATTTTTGCCGGAAAGCTGATGTGCGATGAGCACTAGAACCTCGATTTGGACTAAAATTGCCAAAACAAAATGATAGTGTATCAAAAGTAAAAAAAAAAATAATTAAAGGTCGAAAGTGCAACTCGGGTATAATTAGTGGACGAATGGTGCAATTTTTCCTATAACATGCATTTATGTGTCCAAAAAGGCAAAAACACATATACTAAAGTACATTACAATTTTAATAAAATGAAACATAAAAATGGTTAAATTATATACCTTCATTTGGGTCCTCTTGTTTTGAAACCAAAACTTGACTTGCAATGGCTCTAAACCTAACCGTCGACCGAGATCCTTCCTTTGCTTGTCGTCCGGGTGAGGGCATTCCTTAAAAAACCTAGGTAACGGCAAACACATATCGGTCGATCGCTTAATCAACGAATAATTAATTACGTCGAAATGAAAAGTCGGAAGAATGTAGCTTCATTTTAATATATATCCTTTTCACGTTGTGTTGAAGTTTACGGGTCGGGTCGCTTACGATTCCATTTCTTGGATTTGGTGTTGTGTGTGGCGGTGGTACCGTTTCTTTTTGTTGGGCCTTATTTGGGCCGGATCTTGGTCGTCGCCGGATTGGGCCTCCGGCCCATAAAGCTCGTCATCTCTGATGAGGTCCGTCTCGTTTTCCTGGTCCTTGTTGTGGGCCATGTCGAGAAGGTGGTGGTGGCTGTCGAAAATGTTCGGATGAAACATTTTCTACGTGGATATGTACAAGTGTTGCAGAAAATCAGCCAGGCTGTGAAAATATTGCCAGAGATTTGTAACTTGGTAGAAAAAATAAAAAATAATAAAAAATTCAGGTAAATCTTGAGCAAATTAAGTTGAATTTATACTAATTGTTAAAAATGTTATAAGCTTAAGCAATTAGTAATAATATTGTTCTCTTTTTTTTTTACTCAATGAACACATATAGGCCAATGAACAATGTAACGGTTAATACATACATTTAACTCAAATATCATATGCTCTAGGAAAACAACGTAAACGAAAAATATGTAATTTTTAACATTAATATGAAATTCTACCGCCTAACAGTTAGACCGCAATAAAAAGGTTGATGACCTATTAGAGAGAAACAAAAAAATGGCCCAATAAAGACTTGAATGTGACTGGAAAAAGAATTAAATTGGGTGGTTGTTAGATTATCGGCCATTTATTTGTGCGGAGTGATATTGGGACAAAATTTGATAGGCCAGTGATTTTCTCACTTTATTCTAGCTCGATTATCGGGGAAAATCAAGATTATGTGTGATTTGAATAATTGAAAATTCTGTAAATTCAAAATAAAAGCAAATACACAAATATTGTTAATTGTATTTATATGTGAAATAAACTGAAAAATAAAAATCAAAAAATTCTTTCAAGAATGAAGATTTGTTTTGCTACAAACCCACACAACAGGTGCAGTTTCTTGTAATAATTTTACCAGGAAACCCTAGAAATCTTGACTCCTCTCTCTAGCATAAAATCGTTCGTTTACTCATTCTGTGTCAGTGTATACAAACAAATGTGATAACATGTACCAAGAAAATGGCAATGGACTTTCTTGTTTCTCTCTCTCTTTTTATTTTTATTTTTGTTTTTTGGAATAGTTTTTTTTTTTTATTTCACTTTTTTTGTTGACTAAAATGAGAAATCTTGGCCAATAAAGAAATGACAGTGTGAACCAACACTGCCCTTTGACTCTTGCTATGTTTTATTCCTTTTCTCATTCTCTCTCTCTCTCAAAAACTGGACTACAAATTTCACCTTACTTGTGAGCACTTATCTCACTCGTTCGTTCAAATCAATACACATCCACATTATTATTATAATTTAAAAAGTGTGTATAATTCTACATTTAAATTATCGAACTACCAAATCCATTAAACAAAGAAAATGACATGACCGATTTAAAAAAATAAATAAAAAAAAAAGATACATAATTAATTCAAGAAAAAAAAACACGCACACAACTTACACTGGTTGAAGCTCTTATATAAAACCCTAGTATTCTCCTTTCAAGAAAGTAGGGTTAGCCCATGTTGGAGACGATATAGATGTTGCATTCTTCAAGATAAAAACACAAAACTTATAGAGAGAGAGAGAGAGATGAGCAAATTTTGATAAGAAATAAAAAGGAAAAAAGATGAGTTTTTGAGGCTTATAGCTTTCTTGTGAAGGGAATTTAAGAGGGAATGAGAGAGAAAGAAAACGGACGAGGATTTGTAAAGTCAAAAGAGGGTTTTAGAGAGAGAAAGTGGTTTTGAAGATGTAATGGGATACAGATTAGAGATGTGGAGAAGATAGGTCAGCCAAAGGGGAGTAATTGCAGTGCGTATAGAGAGGGTGAGATAGCATTTAATGGCGGGAGTGTGTGTATGTGAGAGAGAGATGAGAGTGAAAGTTGGTTGGGGATATGGAATTTCCTTTTCCATTTTCTAAATTTTAATTATTATGCGAGACAGTCTAATAGTTAAATAGCTGAGTCGACTCATCATATTATATAAAATAAATAAATACTTATACCAAGTCGTGACACGTCCGAGTGAATGCTTGGGTGATTTTAGACCCGGTCAAACTGGCCTTGACTCGATTGGTCTGGGCTGATGGGTCAACCCAGCCTTGACTCGATTGATTAGAGCATGAACTCGGTTGGGTCTTAGTCCCTATATTTTTTTATTTTTTGCTTTTGTTTTTCAAAATATTTTTTTATTATAAAAATAAAAACTACGTATAAATATTTATATCATACGTAGTTATTATATGGTATATATTATTAACTATTATTTTTATATGTATATATATATATTTATATGATAAGAGTACTACATATATACTTTTAAAATTTAAAATTAAGTATCTGATTTAAAAATTGATTCGATAATCTGACGTAAAATCGCTGAAATTAAAGTAAAGGTAAGTTAATTTTATGTATTTTTAAATAATAATATGTTAATTTGGGTAATATATATTTATATTATCTGGGTCATTATCTTTTTATCTTGTATATATTTATATTCTCAAAGTTTGACTCATTTTTAGTGTAACATATGGGGATGAGTTTTATTTTAGAGAATGAGAATGACTTTCTCTATAAGCAGATCAAGAGTTCTATTTTAGAGAAGAGAATGATTTTCTTTATAAGCAAATCAAGAGATTTTATGCACACTTCCAAGTGACTGTAATTTAGGGTTATAATTTTTAAGATTTATGTGCAAATACATTGAAGAAACAAGATGCATATAGTACATATCAATAACAATTTGCTAACAATTTTGATCAACATAAAAAGTACAAAATTGTTTCCGATCGAATGGTCAATGCATTTATTGAATATCAAAAATAATGTTGATTTTATCTTTGATATTCTTTTCATCTGTTATTTATATGCTTTAATAGTAAGAGATCTTTTTGTCGCATTACCCATGATTGCAATCTCGATAATATATAGAGCCGACAAAAAAAATAACGGTAAAATTATCGATAATTAATGATAAGATTGCAAATGTTGATATAGTTTAATGCTCTATGATCATGTGCCTTTTATGATCATTTTATGTTACAATTTGATACCTAACAATTTGAAAATCTGAATCCATAGAATATAACTAGTACCATTGATTCATACTTAATGAATAATGAATATGTAAATGTGTAATTTTTTTTTTTAATTTCTTTGACAGTGTATACAATGTATTGTAAGGTCATTTCTACTGGTTTGTGAATTGTGACATGAAGAGCCCGCATTCATTATGGTAATTGGTACACAAACCGTTAAGGAATATAATATATATTAATAAATAATTATATGATATTTAAAAAAAAAAATCAGAAATTGGTACTACTTTCAAAACATTGATAGTTTATTAATCTAATAGATACAATTGGTACTACTTTCAAAACTCATGATAGTTTATTTTTTTATTTTTTCCAAAGCGAAGAAAAACTCATATGATAGTTGGACAGACAAAAAAATTAATAATAATTTATATCAGAAATATGTATCATGTAAATAATTGAACACGGGGCCGGGGCGTACTAATTTATAACACCATTATTATTTTCATGACATGATTAATATATAATGAAACTTTGTTTAATGTAATAACTCAACTGGATATTAGTTTGTAGACATGTTTTAAGTACATATGTACTTGTTCATTAAATAGATATAATTCCTTATTGATTATTTAATGTCACATGTCCTCTAATAAAAGTGTTACTTATTGTACGTCCTATCTTAGTAGATTCGA